GAGATAAAGAGAAAAAGATGGAGAGAAAGAGAGAGAGGACGAGAGAGAGAGAGAGGAGAGGAAGAGAAAGAGAGAAAAAGGGGAGGAGGGAGGGAGGAGAGAGAGAGAGAGAGAGGAGAGGGAGAAGAGAGAGAGAGAGAGCGAGAGAAGATGAGATGAGAGATGAGAACGAGAGAGAACCCTAACCCTAACCCTAACCCCCAATCCTAACCCTATCCCTAATTCAAAAAAAAAATAATACTAATAATTCGGCGCCTTTCGGACTTGGGAGACGCGCTGCACCTAGTCGCAGCTACCAGACGCTGGTGAAATTAGATCTTCAATACAAATTTTGAGTGATGGCTCTGTCTAAAGAAGAGAAAATTGCGAGGACTCGAAATGATGTGACAATCTGCAACTTGAGATCAGCAGTGAGTGATGAGCACCAGTCTGATCTTGTGAATTATTTCTTTGGTGAGGTCCTGAGGCTGAGGGAGTGAGGATAGCCATGACCACAGGCACTTGACCCTCCGTCGCTCCGATGCCAGCGATGGGACGAGTACTGAGTCTATGATGAATCCGATGGAATGGATGGCATCGGCGATGCAGACGATGATGAACTTGACGATGGTGTAGTTTCTAAAGGGCCTGAGCCAGTCAATGAGAACAACAGTGTAGGCTGCGATAGTGAAGATGAACATGATGAAGATGAACGAGATGGCCGGCATGCAGCTCCCTGTTGTTGATGAGGTTCACCAGGATTTATCCACCTCAGGCCCTGCATGGTCACTGCTCACTCAGCCTGCGTCGCTACTCAAAGTCAAAATAAGATCTCCGAGGACAAAGACATTGAATTTAAAAAATAAGGGATTAGAGTTACAAAACTTTCAAAATCAACAATGGGCAGCCGTATTATACTGCCTTCAGTGAGGAGTTTGTTTGACATCAGACTGCATGACTATGTCCTCGTTAGTTGATTTTGAGAAAGGTTTGATTCGTCTTGGAAAGATCAGTTGCATGTTTCGCAGTGACCGACTTATACGATCCTCGATGAAAGAATCACAAAAAGAACGTCGTCACCAAAGGACCGAGCACTACATCAATGGGGAATAGAGTTTGTAGTGAAACATTCAAGTTTCTTTACTGGTAAGTTCAAGTTGATTTTAACCATAACATGCATAAAGAAATACTAAGAGAGGTTTGAAATTATGACCATGCAATTCAGAAATCTGCATGCTATGATAAGTGACAGTTTTTCTTTCAATAATCAAAATCATGTATTCCTACATTGATTGAGCTTTTGTCAAAATCAGTACTTAAGTGTTCTGCCAAGTTTGGTCTCAATCAAACAAGTCAGTGGCGGATTTAGGGCGGGGGGGTGTATTGGGTGGCTAGCCACCACCCTCTGTTGGACTAACAATATTTTTAAACGTATACCAATTAATTATTGCCAAGTATAATAGTCGCGCGGCTGTACAAAACGGCACTTGATGCATGGGTTACTTAAATTATGTCATTGAGTGGCAGAGCAGGTTATAACCCTTTTGCAGCTTTTTTCACAATTCCAAGAAAGAGTTTTGCTGCCGCCCTCATCCCAGCGGTGGTCACCCCGACATATATTTCATAACGAACGTGACCTAAACAATGCCCCCCCCCCCCAGTACATCAATCAATGCTGCGCTGCAAGCGCAAGAATTGTTCTACTAAAAAGAGAATTGCCGTAGTCAGAATGAAGGCTGTACATACACTCAAAAGTGCCTCAAATACCATCTCCTGCGATCTACATTTTCAAAGTTTTCTGGGGAAGGAGTACCCCCCCCCCATACCCCCGCCCAGAGGCGCCGGAAGTGGGGGTGGGGAGGGGGG